CCTAAAATGTCAATAAACTCAATTAAAGCTAAAAAAAAAATGCTTTCCCTCCAAAGAAGCATTATGGGGGGAAAAAGGGAATAACATATACATATGAAAATACTCCATTTTAATAATAATCACAAATTTTTAAGTTCTAGAATCTAAATTGTTCTCAAACTTGTTAGTCTCTGGAACTCTTTACACTCTGAACAATCACTAAAGGCTTTTAAATAGCTGTTGTTTATTTTGTTTAAAGGAATGTTCTTCATAGTCTTGTAAAAGACATCTACTTTTTCTTGTATCTGACAAAGTATTTTCTTCTCTGTGTACTTCTGTAAGAAACTCGAGGGACTGAACAGTGTTAAGGCTCTGTGCTTTTTGACTTAGGCCTTTCCCTTTATTTATTGCCATTTTCTATTGGGAAAATGGGCAAATACATCTGTGCAACGCTAATTAGCCTAAGTAGTAGATGTGTCATTCTCAACAAGCTGTAAAAATGTCTGACATATTCAATATTTTGTGTGTACTAAACTTTTTCCAGAGCTCCTACTCTGACTCCTTTGAGCTTTGCAGCTGATGTTTAGCCATCAGTCCATAGGACAGAAGATAAAATCCTCCCTGACGCATCTTTCTCCCCGTTGCCCTTACCTTTGGTCTCTGAGGCACTTTTTTTTTAACACTGCTCTCTGTTCTGTGGTCTGTGTGATCTCACCTGAATGCCCATTGATGTGAGGAACTATATGTAACCCAAGCCTGCATTCCCACTCATTTTCAGAGCATCCACACCCTGGAGAGGACTGCTTCCTCTAGCACCGAGCCCTCTGTAAGTCGCCATTTCCTAGAACCGGAGCCAGTCCCCACCTCCAAGGTCAGTGACAGACATGGTTGGCTTTCTTAGATGGAGTTCTGGTCTGGGGGGTTAGCTCAGTGGTTCCACAGCCTGCCTCAGATGGAGTCCTGCCTGCCTGGGGCCAAATGAACTGTGAGTAACGGTTACACCTGGCTGCCCTAAGGTAGCTGTGACACCAGTTGTAAGGCCACCTTCCTTCTGCCTGCAGTACAAGGGTTTCTCTCTGCCTGGTGTAAGGAGAGAGTAATGAAAATATAATTTACATTGGTTTTTCAGGGCAATGTACAAAGGGCTAGAATTCTTTTTATTTTAAGGGAAAGGGAAACAGAAAGTATTGTTATTCCCTCTAGCCGAGATAAGTAAATATTTCTGTGCCAAAGTAATGGGGGAAAAACTCACTGGGTCCAGCAGGATTATGATAATAATAGCTACCATTGTTGGCCACACTCTGCTGAGTGCTTAAATACATTACCCCATTTAATATAATTCTTATAAACAGCTCCATGGAGATATCTGTTATCTTTTGCAGGAAGGGAAACTGAGGGTTTTTTCCCCCCAAAGCAAAAAAGCTGTTAAGTAGCAGAGCAGAAATTCAAACTTAAATTTGTCCAGCTCAACAACCAATGCTCCCTCGCTGCCCATGACCTGCAAGGTGACATCATCCCTGCCCACCGGGCCTTTCACACGGTCGCCATTCTGGGCTCCTCACCTCTGGGGAGAACTGCGCAGGTCATTTATTCAGGCTTTACTGTGTCATGGGAGCCAGAGTTCCTTCCTTCCGGCCTGCTCTTCCTTAGATTAGGGAAGCACACACATTCTTTTATGTCTAAAAGGTGAAAGTCAGTCAAGGAGGTAACCCCCACCCCTCTCTGAGAAGTTCAGTGTTGGCTCCCTGATCAAGGAACTCTGAAAATAGAATGCAGGAGGATTTTGAATTCAATTATAAAAATAGCATTTTATTTCCAAAGATAGTTAACTTCTAAGCATGTATAGCTGATCCTTCCATTTTGCATTTCCAATATGAAACATAATCTGTAAAAAAGAAGACTACATTACTATCTTAGTGTTGTGGGATGGATATATACACGTATGCCTCTTTATACTTTGAAGACTTTACAAAGCTACAGTTTGTGCTGTCAGACCGGAGTTAAAAGGGGGAGTTACCAAACCATAAATATAATTTAGAGAGAAATAGAAAGTGGCTGAGTTCTATTTGCACAACAGATAGAGAATGAAGACTTGGTAAATAAAATTCATATGTCTCTTTGAAACATCAGTGCACTTTTACACTTGACAAAGTAGAAGACAGATAATAGAGCAATGGAAAAGGCAGCTGAAATTTATTGAGCACCTATTTTGTGCCAGGCACTGGATTAGAACATGTGATTGAGAGATCAGCCCCAGTTTGGTGAAGTCAGTACTAGTGTTCTTGCTTTAATGATAATCCAGCCTAATTTCCCAAGCTTAAAGGCCTCAAGTTGGTCAAACACTAGTTCCCCAGAGAAGTAGCTGGCCTGGCTCACAGCAACTGGGGTGTGGGTGGGTCCAGTGACCTGACCAAGGAATTTGAGTGGGGCCCCAGCAGCATCCTTTCTGTTCCCCATTTGGATCTAGCTGTACGCCGAATAAGGTTGGGGTTTTTTTAATTAGAAGGTACAGAAAAATCTTGGGCCCCACGGAATTAGAGGGCCAGTCTGAGCAGCACAGCCTCTCACCATCTCTCAGCTCCTTTGAGAGAAGGTGGACTTCCCAGGCACTGCTCGGTAGTGGAAGAATTTTGTTCAAAGTACACATTATCCCGGCTCAGGATTTGTTTCAAATGTTTTGCTTGAGGCCTTCAACTCTTAGAGCATTTTATGTGATCCTACCCGCCCCCTACAACCACCCCACCCACCTAAGCACTCATGCACACCCGTGGGGTATATTCCCGAGAAAGGAAATGTCCCTGTGTTTTGCAAGTGAATAAGCTCAAGCTATTATTAGGTCATTTTTTATTTTTATTCATTGTTACTAGATTAAAAGTATTTTAAAAACTTCTATAATATCAAAGATGTTTCGTGTCTGACTTAGGTCTAGTACTGACATGATCACATTAGGACTTCTGTCTCTGCTTTAAGTACACTTAGAAAAAGTGGAGACTTTGAGCAGAAAGTAAATATCAATTGAAATTTCAAAAGAAATTCTTCAGTTGTCAGAAAGATACTTAGTTTTCTTATGATAGACCTAGTTTACTAAGCATAGCGGAAAGAATTTCAACATAACAGATAGAAGAACATAGAAGATTCTATCTTGTACTGAGATGAGTTGCTCATTTCTTACAGAACTTGTTTGTAACATTATCATCAGCATTTATAACTGAAATAGGGAGAACACTGTTTGCTCTGGTTTTATCCTCTGCCTCTTTGTTAGCTTGACAGCTTATTTAATTGGAAGAACTATATTAGAATTTTTTTTCCATTTCTTTCACTCGGCAGAGGAATATTACATCAGAGCAAATGGAACTGTTTATTCAGAGTTACAGCATTTATGTTACATTTTAACCTTTTGCCTTTTATATTTTATCCTTTTTTTCCCCTCTCCAGTTAAATTCCCACTGAAGAAAAAAACACTGATAGAAATCAATAGCCATAGCTCCAGAGGGACGAGCTGTTACTACATCTGAGTTAATTTGGGAAAAAAGGAAAAGAAATGCATTCGTACTGATTATTTAAATGTTTCCATTTTCACAGATTATATATAGCATTCTTTCACACACACATACACAAAGGCAAAATTAAACACCAGTCTTCAAATAAGACCTAGCAGATATAAAAATCTGTTCCACCAGAAATACTACCCATGGATGAAGCCACTAAAAGAAGACAATGTCTTTATGTAACTGACATCTAAGAACAGAAAATATATTCACATATATATATGGAAAATCCAATGAATTCTGTTCATCTAATGGATGTATTTACACATTTATGGACGGTTATTCATAATTTCTTAATTATGTCAAACTTTTGAAAAAGAATTAGTAATTATCATTTTTATGGAATAGAATAGTTTACCTACTTTTCTGGTAAAAGTAGAAAACCAAAATTCTAGCCTTTCTATAAGAAGTTACTGTTTCTCTTATTATTGTAACATTATTCCTAAGCAGTTCTCACTTGTTGAATTGCAATCCCGTATTAAGAAGCGTTCTGCTGGGTAGTGGAAAATGCAACAGTACTACTTGGACTTATGTTGTCCAAAAGAAATAGTTTCTACACCTTAAAATTATCTCATCAGAAACATTTTTTTAAAAAAAATCACTATATCTCATTAATAGTTTTGACTAGATCAATCACAGTTTCTAAAAATGGTCTTCAAGTAGAACATCCGTTCTTGGGTTATTAAAGATCCTTTCCAGGCTCTTGCATGCTGCCGAATGAACACCAGTAGATATGTTTCTACCGGAGCTATGTGTAGTATATTCTTCAGGGATGACCTCGAAGATGACGAAGTGACCGCAGTTAGGTTGGCTTTCCTGGGGTGGGGCGTAGGGAGAGCAGAGGCATGCCGTCAGGTGTAGAGGGCTGTTGAGAGGAGGTTAGAATGAGGCAGTATTAGCCACTTCTGAAAACATAACTTCATGTGAAAGTCCTTCCCTATTCACATATACTGGAATTTAACATTGATTAAACTTGACTGCAGGGAAAGCAGGCTTCAGGAAAAAAAGGCGGAAAAGAAGAATGATGGTGACTACCTAGCCACTCCCTGGCTTGCAAGTCCTTATCAGTAGCTGATGGGGATACCTCTTCCTCTGAGCCTCATATTCCCTAACAGGATTTGGACAGCCACCACCTCCTATTTGGGCCAGCAAAGCCATCTGTCCTGAGATGAATTCCATTGGCCATTTCTGTTGAGCCCATTGTTCTTTGCACTGATGATGTTCCTGATAGAACAAACCTTTCTGAAGCCAGCTTCCCTCCCTTGGGGAAGGGCCTGGCGCAGAGTGCCCACCCTTCCAAAGCTAGGGTAGCACAGAAGGTTACCTGAGAGGGTTTGTCCCCCTGCACTGCACCGCAGCCCCCCAGCAGGAGGCAGCAGTCTTACAAGGGGGATGAAGATCCTGTTCCTGCCTCAGGAGCTAAAACTTCTGCTTGATTGTTGAAAGGATGTGTCGCATTCCAAGGTGTCATGCCTGAGCCTTAGACTGTGGACTGCCTTGGTGTTTGCCAGGTCAGTGATTATTATAGAGTTGCACAGGTCCCTAGAAACCTCCTGATCCTAGGATTTTTCAAACCCTGGATATTGTAAGAGCCAGGTAGGTTTGCCAAGCTCAGCAGGGACATCAGACTGAAGACTGGCATCTTTCCTGCAGCAGTGTCACCAAGTCTTACAGGCATTCAGAAAATCTGAATATTTATAATCTGATAAAAAAGATCGCATAAAAGAGGAAACTATTGCCGGGTATGGTGGCAAATGCTTGTAATTCCAGCATTTGGGAAATTGAGGCAGGAGTATCACCTTGAGTTCAAGGCCAGCCTGGGCTACATAGTGAGTTCAAAGCTAGTCTGAACTACAAAGCAAGACCATTTCTCAAAAACAAAACAAAACAAAAAAAAAGGAAACTGATTCAATTAGTTTTTAACAGAACAGTAAGTGTGTGGACTCTCAAACTAGGATTCTTTTTTTTTTTTTTTATTTACTTTTATTTTGATGTTGAGGATAGAACCCAGAGCTTTGCAGACAGACATTAAGCACACCCTGTAGCACTGGGCAGTCTCCTTGCTCTCATATCCAGTTTCATGGCCTTGCAGGCTGGTACTCCTTCCATGGGTTCTGGAGAGGATGTGTACCTTTGAAAGCCTGGACTTTTGGGTGCGCACTTGATGAGCAGAATGTTTGATGTGCACTCAGAAATGCAGGTAGCCACCCCAGGAGAAAACCGACCTCAGAGCTGTTCATGTCTGTTAGTAGCAGGTTATGAGCCACTTTCGACAAATGCAGCCTTTGCATTTCTACACAGAAAGACAGGTCTGCATGCTCGTAGAACATTTGCCATTAAACGTCAGTCACATTTTGGGACTTTATTAGGGAATAACTGGAAAAATTCATCTTAATTCAGGTAATTTCCAATCTATGTAGACAAGGAGGCGATCATGGGTCTCCGGTGGACCCCCCCACCCCGCCTGCCTCCAGATCTACTAGGAAACTCATTTTAACTTCAGTTAAAAGTGCCTGATTTGTTTAATGTTGGAATGTGCTCTAGAACAACGCTTGTACTTCTGGTGGGTCAACTGTTGCTTCAATAGCGACTTCTGCTTAAGAATCTGCTTCAAGAGTATCATCAGACACAGAAAATATGGGATTTATTTATTTTTTTCCTTAGGAAGCTGACAGCTGGGAAATTATAGAAGGGCTGAAAATAGGCCAAACCAATGTACAGAAACCAGATAAACATGAAGGCTTTATGCTGAAGAAAAGAAAATGGCCTTTAAAAGGCTGGCACAAGGTAACAATTTTCTCAGATTCAAGTTCTAATCATCATCACAAAGAAGATCTTCTTATTAGGTGGGAAGCCAAGACTATGCTGTATATGTGAAACCAGTTTTCAAAACCTTATTTTCAACCATATGAATTGCAATCTATTGTACTGATATGGGTCTAAGGTCTGTAATATGCATACATAGAGAATAGTATTTTATGTGATATTTAAAACCCAGGTTATGCATATCATTGTGTAACCTGCTTTAGTGTAGATATGCTCTCATTTTTATAAATATGAGATTTTTAAAGATGTATGCATGTATTCCATTGGATGGATTTATGTGGTATATGCCACTATTATTAAACAATTTCTTATTCTGGATATGCAACACTTGTCTAATTTTTTGCTGTTATGATGTTCTAATAAACATATTTATATTTGAATATTAATTAGTTCCTTGGGATAAACTCTTATAGTTACCAGGACAAATTAAATTTGGAAGATAACTGATAATGAACATTTACTACCCTTTAGAGTTTATTCTCTCCCCTTGCACCATCTTCCCCTCTCCCAATTTTAATTGGGGATGAAATATTTTTGCCACGTTATCATACTTACCTGAGTAACAAGAGTTCTGTGTTGCCAGCTGAGTATGATAGTACCCACCCGGAGTCCTAGCTCTATAGGATGTTCATAGGGAAGAATCACTTGAGCTCATCAAGTCCTGGACAAGAGATCAAAACTGTGTCTTTAAAAAAAAAATCTGTGATGGGCCAGGGATTTAGCTCAGTGGTTCCACTGCCTGCCTTGCAAGCGGATGGACCCGAGTTCGATCTCCGGTACAAAACAAAACAAAAAGAAAATCTGTGATGCCCAGAAGTTTCTCTTCCCTTTTCAATCTAAGACTTTGGGGACCACCCAGTATCATCCATGACATCACTGGAAGAATAAATCTACCTGCTTTCACCTCTACCAGCGGATTTCATCTCCCAAATGATTTGTCAGCCCAAATGGCCAGGTGGTGGCCACCCACTGGCTCAAAGCAGGAAGGCTGTAGATTATAACAACTTCCTGGAAGAAACATTTTGTGCACTTTAAGGGAAAGGCTTAGAATGAAAAGATCTTAAAATGTGGCCCCAACTTCTTCTCCCAAAGGTGGAATGAAAACAGGCCAGCAGGGGCTTCTGGCTAATAGCTCATCTGTTGTTCAACACCGTCTTCCCTTAACTTACGTTATACCCAGTGCCAGTGATTCCCCACACCGTTCTTTTGCCTTGAATTTGGTTGACTTGATCCTTCCTGGGATCACCTTTGCCTTGCACTGTGACTTGTGTTTCCCTAAATCAATGGCCTTGCTAAGTAAGCTCTTTCCCTGTAGTATCATACAGGGTATCTTTGCTAAAATTCTATGACAGAAGAAAAAGATGGTCAAAGGAAACATTTTATATGAACTGCCAGCTTTAATTTAGCGCTCAGTCTGTTTTTCAGCAAAACTGTCTGTGGTTCGATCCAAGTTTCTGGACTATGCCCGTGAATGTTTTGCTGCAAAAGTGGGAGGCGGCCTTTTCTCCTGCTCCCCAGGACCACCGTTTATCAATTCAAGCTTTAGTCCATTTAGTTGCCCAGAACATAAGTAATTGAGTCATTGAGTATTTTTCAGTTGAGGAGATTCTTTTCATACTTGTTTATTGTCCCCCCGAATCTGAAACAAAGGGTTGCAGTGGCCTTTTATGAGTTCTAGGCAGGGTAACCTTGGACCTGACCACCTGCTACCTCAGCAGCTCTGAGTTTCTGAATCACCTGAAAACATTTCCTCACAGTCATTTTCCAGCAACAGAAAGACTCCTTGCTATGTTGAACTAGAGAAGGGTATTGAACTCCTTGGGTGACTGGGACCGGGGAGCTGTTCCCTCCTGAATTGCCCATGAAGGGAAATCAGCAGCAGAGTTCTTGAGGATTTGCTGAAAATTGCTAATCCATTCAGACTGAGCCAGAGAGATCTTGGAGCAGATGAAGTTGCCCCTCCCGTCAGAAAACCCCTCATATTTTTAAGCCTTAATGCAATTTGAAAATAATTGTTAATCTCTTTTGGAATGTGAGCATTTGCTAAATGGATAATACAAACACATTGTTAAGGTCACTTAAATTTTCCAGGACTCGATTTTCCATAGATCCAGACGACTAGTTCTATAGTGGTCATGAGTTTTCAGAAATTTTCCATGGTACAGTATCCAGGGCAAGTTCAGGAGTTTACCTACAGGGTAAAACTTTCCTGTAGACTTGTGTAGAGATCCTCACAGAAGCTCTATACCCTAATACAGATTATTTTCATTTCTGTCTTTCAAAAACACCCAGGTGTGGTGGTACATGCCTATAATCCCAGCACTTGGGAGACTGAGCCAGGAGGATTTCAGTAAGTTTGGGGCCAGGCTATATAGTGAGTCCAAGGCCAGCCTGAACTACATAGGGAAATCCTGTCTCAAAAAAAAAGATATTCATCATGGTTCATTTAAAAGATCATAATGGCAGGTCATGAGAGTGCCCCCTTGTCAAAAATAATCATGGTGAAAAAATTCCTTCCCATTAAGTTATGTGTTAAAAAGAAAGCAACCCTGGTACATTAGTAGCATGGACATCAAGCTCTGATATCCTTGCAATGTAGCGTAACTGACCGTGTCTAGAAGCACTAAATTCTACATTAAAATAAACAAATGTGTCGATAATTGCAAAGCAGCTTTAGACCCACACTTGCAAATGTTTTATGTATTTCAAAGTACAGACAATAACTAGGGTGTTTGGTTCTTGCAGCGTTTTTTTGTCCTGGATAATGGAATGCTAAAATATTCAAAGGCACCACTTGATGTAAGTAGCACACAGGATACGTTTCAAAGATTGATTTAGAATTCTGCTTGAAGTGAGTAAACACTGTCATTGTACAAGCCTTGTGCGTGGTTATGAGTTTTGTGCATGTCTGTGTTTGTAATATTTAACGGGCTACCAAATCTGCATGTTCCAGAGACAGTGTGTTCATACTTACATTCCAGATAGCATAAGACCTCAGACTAGTGCATGAAGATTTAACTTAACTATTTTATATACATTATTAAAAACAGAAGCTTAACCCTAAAAGTAACATGTTGACAAAATCGCTCTTTGGAGAGAAAAATGCAAATATCCTTTTTTTTTTTTTTTTTTAATCTCTCAGTAAACTTTTCCTTGATGTGCTTTTTTGAGATATAGGACAATCTTTGTTCTTGTTGCTATCCTCTTAAAAACTGTCTTTTGAACTTCACTTCTATTTCAAACATACTTTTATCTTGGGAATCCCAACTCTAGTATTGCTCCAAATTACTTTTAATATTTAAATAGTTACTTGCATGCAAAATGAGAAAAATCCCCCTGCGTATCATTGTGCTGTAGGGAAAAGAACTGAAGGCTCAGATTACATTTTGTCCCCATCTCTGCCACTGAATCAGCTATGCCCTTAGTCTGAAGGGAGCACTCAGGAGGAGGAGCCAGCTGCTCCGTGCTCCCAGCTCCCAGCTGCCCGTTTCTGACCTAGCAGTTCTTTTCCAGCTGACTTTTCAGGGATTCTCTGAAAGTTGACCACAGCTATTTTAGAAACAACTAAAAATATCTTTCTGAGGGGATACAAGCTATACAATCTAGAATTACGAAAAGTTGACTAGGTTATGCCAAAAACAAGAACAAGATGAATAGTATTACTCATTGAAATTATTGAGAAGTCACAGCAAGTTCAACTAGCCTCCTTTTAAAAACCATTAACTTCAGAACCCTGACCATTTTCTCTTTACTAAAGAGGTGGGTATGCCACTCACTCGCCGTTCCTTTTTCCGTAGATAAATTTCAAACTGCAGCCTCACTGAAGTTCAGTGTGGAAACACATGAGACCAGGTATCCTTCTATCCTGTTTACCAATCTCTTGTTTTCAGATTCAGAAGGGGAAGGTCCACGGAAGCATAGATGTCGGACTGTCCGTCATGTCGATAAAAAAGAAAGCTCGGAGGATAGACCTTGACACGGAGGAGCACATCTACCATTTGAAGGTGAAATCACATTTCAACAGTTTCTCTGTCATTAGCAGGGTGAGTAATTTGCCTGCACCGGTAGTGGATAGGAGACTGGTTTCATAGCCCCTGCTCCTCTTGCTCGTGCTTTCAGGTGAAATCTCAGGACTGGTTTGATGCCTGGGTCGCCAAACTGCGCCATCATCGCTTGTACCGGCAGAATGAAATTGTGAGATCACCGAGAGATGCGAGTTTTCACATATTTCCTGCAACCTCCACAGCTGAATCCTCCCCAGCTGCCAATGTTTCTGTTGTGGATGGAAAGGTATGCCTTGCTCTATACAAATCATCCTGGAAATTGCTTAAAAAGTTATGGAACTACATTGCTGTGTCTCACTTGAAAAAAACTAAAAATACAAGGTTTGCTTTGTGAGTTGACACTCAGAAGACAGCAGTGACATTAAGATCAAAGATGATCGCAACTATGGATTAGGCAGAAATATGGATCAACAAGTATATTAGAGTTATTTCTCCTTTCTGATGAACAGATTAGCTCCTGTTTTTCTGTGGCTTTGTAGAAATATTGAGAAGAGAGCACACACTTGTTTAAACAACACTCAGAAATCTGGTGCCTTCCTGGGTGGTAATAAGACAACACAGTTTTAAAAGTAAAACTTACTTTCTTGCCTTGAGTTGTCACAACTTACATGACCCAGGGAGAGACTAGTAAACTCCCTCATGAAGTTAATGCAAGTAAGACAGAGAATGCGACAGTAACATAAGTAGTAACCTATTTCGTTCACCAGGTACTGTGTTAAGCATTTGATGCTCATCCGTCTCCCGTCTTTCATACCGCCGAAGTTCAGAGATAGTAAAGAATTTGAAATGGAAAGCTGGGAATGGTGGCACACATGCCTTTAATTCCGGCATTTTGGGGAGGCTGAGGCAGAAGGAGTGCAAGTTCAAGTCCAGCCTGGACAATTTAGTGGCTTATCAAGAGTCTGTCTCCAAATAAAAAAGTTTTAATGGGGGAAATGAGGATTAACTCAGTGCAGAAGCTCCAAGTTCAACCCCTAGTAGTGCAAAGAAAAATAGTTAATTGTCTACAAGTGGCATAGCCATTCCAGGATTGGAGCCCATATCTCTGTTTCCAAAATCAGTGCCCTTTCCATTATACTAGATGCCTCACAGACCATGGATGCTGAAGTTGTTCTTTGGGCTGTAGTATAAGAGTTTGTTTTCAGTAAAGCTAAGAAGCTATAGGTGTTGCCTTTTTTCAAGTCAGGGTTAAGACAACAAGCAGAGAGGCAGCTGCGTCTGCCTTTGATTCAGTAATTAGGTTTCATGAAACGTAGCAGCGTTGCAGGGCCCAAGGGTGCTGCAGCTTCACGCTTGGCACCTGAAATTGAGGACAGAGACAGCTGCCTGATGATTGGGTTCAAGGACATTTCCATGGAGATCCTCTGCTTCCTTCCATAGGCGTGTAGGTAGTACACAGAACCAGGTTTCCTTTGCAAACTGTTATGAAATGTGATGGAGAAACTGCAAGACTAACCAATCATATTCAAAGAAACATTACTGTTGTCAATATTTTGTTATTTTAATGGCAATTACCAATGCCATTTTTCTTAAATCTCATTATTTGTATTTCACAAGGCTCTCAGACCTTTCAATATTTCATGATGGTTGCATCTTTGCTAAGGACTATTTGATTACCTTTCTCCTTGAAATCAATGTGGGGTTAACCCTAGGACCAACTGGTTCTGTAATAAAAGGACTCGAATCAGGAGGTCAGGGGACTTGGAAGTCTGGGAGCTTATAAATTCCACGTTAGTCCTTAAGTTTCTCTAGGCTTCCGGGTGTCAGTCCAAATAAAATAAAAAATGTATTCCAAGTGGCTCTTTTTAAAATATAAAAATGTAATTCTTCGGTTCTTCCAACTTCTGCTTTCATCTTTGGCACAAGGTATTGACAAAAGATACATTACTTCATCCCTCCCCTTATTTATTAAATAACTTGGGTGATATTTGAGAATCATGGGCTAAAATTAAATCCTCCCCTACTGTTTGCCTTGGAATAAAGGAAGTTCTTCAACTGTGATTTTCACAAAAGCTCTGTTTTTGTAGTAGCAAATGACATATCAGTAAGATCTAACTCAGTGAAAGATTTCCATTAGGTTTATTAAAATGCAACAAAGATCTAAAAGAGCTTTTTTATCACTTTGCTCTCCTTCTATATGCCAAATTACGGGGCTCTTGAATGTTAATCAGCTTGTGGTCCTGTGTTGGTAATAAATAAGTCTGGGTTTGCTAAGTGTGTGCATCAGTCATTTCATAATGATTCAGAAGAGATACAATCAGTTGTGATTGAATATTGAAACCAAATATGGAATTTTTAAGTTATTTCAGCTTCTTGGGAAACAAATTTCTGTTTATTTCACTGAGTGTTTATTTCACTTACCCAACTGTGTACCTGCATACTTCACACAACTTTATTTCACATAGAATCCTTTCGATGTAAAATCAGCTTGTCAAACCACCTTTTTATATAATTTTCAATAAGCGTTCAAAGCATAAGACTGCATATTGGTGGATAATAGATTTGGGAATCATTTGTGGTTTATAAGACAGTGAGCTGATCAATAGAGCACAGAGAACTTTTGGAAGGAAAGGCCTTAAGGTATAAGTTCTGCAATAAAGGCACGTGTGGCGGCACACACCTGTAACCTTGGCACTCTGGGAAGCTGAGGCAGGAGGGTCACATAGTTTGAGCCCAGCAAAGGCAGGCAACTTAGCGCCTTAGTAAGACCCAGTCTTCAGATTAAAAAAAAAAAAAATGAATAGTAGGGCTGGTTATGTATTTAAGTTCAAAGGCCATGGTTTCCATCTACAGTATAAAAAAATGTTCTGCAATAAGGACACTGTATTAAATACAAATTAACTGAGCACTTAAAATTATTGAGAATTTGAGTTGGTGTATCAGATGCAGTATACTTGAATGCTATTCCCTTACTTGAATGAAGAGTGCTGTTGTTTTGAGTCTTTTTTGAATTCTTACCACCATGTTTAGCAAGAAGATTCCTCCATATTTTGCACTTTATTCTTTTCTTTTAAAAAATGTTGCTTTGAGGATGCTGGTATTTTTTAGCAGCTATTAAATGTACTATTTCTGCCACATGTGTCCCTCCCCTGTAGGTGCAGCCGAACAGCTTTCCATGGCAGTCTCCGCTGCCGTGCAGCAACAGCCTCCCTGCGACCTGTACAACCGGCCAGAGCAAAGTGGCAGCCTGGCTGCAGGACTCAGAGGAAATGGACAGGTGTGCAGAAGGTTAGTTCTTGCCATGGAGCTTAAACCAACCAAAGCAAAAAAATCAAAACCACTATGGCGCATGGTGGGTACTGCGTCCTGCCTGGCCCTTTCGTAGCCTTCGTCTGTCCTTATTTTTCTACACTACATCCTTCTAAAACCCACGGCCCCAGTTCCCTTGCCCCACAGAACCAGGGAATCTGGCTTTTGCCCTTGCCTTGATCACCACTCACCTTGGCCTTCTTTCCTGTCTGTCTCAGGACTTCCCAACTGCCCCACCCCTGGAGATGCCCCACCCACACTCCTGGGCTCTTTTCTGCCCTCCTTTCCTGGGCGTTTCTGCAGCCTTCATTTCCTTCTCAGTTACTCTGTTTTGCCCACTGAACAGATGTCTGTCTCCTGGCAACCCAGCCCTAGCGGCGGAACTCCAAAGTGCTATTTCTTATGTCCATAGTTACTCACAAGTGTTGTTTCTGCGTGCATCCGTTGTTAAACACCTGAACCAACACACAGTTGCCTCATTCTGTACCTCCCGGAGCCTCTTAATCTCCTCTTCCTTTCTCCTCCCCTCCAGTCAGCCAGAGCAGCTTCATCCAGACGTGGTCCATGGACCATTTCCATTCTAGGTGACAATTTCCATTTGATCTTCAAAACTGAGAAAAATAAGGGCAATGTAAAAAGTACCCAGGAGGGCTCAATTGACTTAAATTTTGTAACAATCTTGAGATGATGCCAGGATTAAAATAGTTTTCTTTTATGAAATTATAATAAAAATAGACATTGCTAGATGTTGCTTGATGTTCTCACTGAGAAAAATGAAAATTTGGCAATCTGTGAGTCCCCAGCCAAAAAGAGCCTGATAATGAAAACAGAGTGAACCACCAGTGTGTGAACGCAAAGTCTGTGACTCTTTTTATTTATCTTTTTTTTTTCAGTACTGGGGCACTCCTAGGGTCTTTGCACTGAGCTATATACCCAGCCCTTTTAAAATTTTTATTTTGAAATAAGTACTTAGTAATTTGCTAAGTTGCCCAGGCTGAGCTGTGATCCTCCTGCCTCAGCCTCCCACGGTGCTGGGATTACAGATGTGCCCTGCCACACACTGTTCATGTCCACAGGATTTTTATCAGACCCCCCCAGATACCTACCTCCCAAACTCAACCTTTATTTGAAAATGTGATTTAAGAGGATTTTATATTTGTAATCACACCTAGTTGGTAGTCCGTTAAGATTTTCCAGGATGAGTTCAATGACAGCCAGACTTAGTTTGAGTGCAGTAATTTCAGGTTGGGGAAAGAAGCCAGACTGCATTTTCTGAGGACTCCGTTAAGTTCAAGCAGCAGTGATTCCCAGGTTTCCTATGGAAAATGTCAGAGAAGGTCACTACCTCGTCCACGTTCACATGGCTGCTAAAATGGAGGCTGGGATTCGAACTCAGGCACTCTGACTCCAGAGTGGGTGTTAAGATGATGTCCCACTCCCATGTCAGCTGTGTCTTTCCAAAATGTGGTCCAATGCCTGCTCTTCCCTGTCGCCCTCAATGCTGTTGTCATAACCACTGCTGAAACTCAGGTCACGTGTTATCCTTCCCTGCTCATCCAGCCCAGACAGAGTCCTGCCTGTTTTTCCTTCGGAAACTTCCCCCTTACATGTCTTGCACTGAATTCCATTCCTGCCTTTTCACTGCTGTCCTTGTCTCTCGGTGTCGCACTGCCTTCTGATGGTTCTTCTACCTCAGTCTCTTGCGTTGCTGCCTCATCCTGCTCAGAGGCTCATGGGAAATTACTAGTCTTGAGCCTATTTTCGGCCCCTGGACTAGCATGTAGCAGACAGGCATCACTGTGTTGCATTTCAGCCACAAAGCACAGTTACTGCTACTGTGCCAGCTGTGTGGATGAGGAAAGTGAAATGCATAGAGGTGAAGGTTTGGCCAAGGTTATACAGCCGCCCTGGTGGAGAGATTGGGACTACAACCAAAACATATTTGACTAACCCCCGAGCCAGTTCTTTGTTCGCTGCATAATACGCCCTCAAAACTGTTTGTGCTTAAAGTAATTTTAATGCAAAACTCTCTTCAGTGGTTCTCCATTGGCTCTTGATGCTTCCACACAGACTGCTAACCCAGCATTTAGCAACCCATGCTCTGAGACTCCAGGCCCGCAGATCCTTTCAGCCTCAACCAAGCTTTGCTCTTTCGGGAACGTATTCATGTATTCCTGCCTGCAGGCCTTTCTAGGGTTGTTCTCCCCGACTTACAGTGCCCTCTCTGCCCTTCCCCACTGTCCTGTCTCGGTGAAACCTTTCCAGTAATTTCCAGACCCAGAACATGGACCATCCTTTCTGCATCTTCTCTGATGACCCCAACTCCTATCAGCACTCCTTTTCAAATCTCTTACTGAAGTTTAAAAATAATCTATATTGGTTACTTGTCAGAGAGTTCCTATTATTGCATCTCAAAAGCATGAATATTTCTTGGTTGTTTCACTAGTTACATTTCAAAAGGTGCAACACCTTCCTTACTTAACACATTATATATCTGATTTGTATAGTTCTAATACTTAAAGCAGCTGGCTATTCATGGATTAGCCCTGACCTTAAATATATAAGGAAATTACTTGACTCTTGGGGCACTTTTTTCCCACAGTTATAAACTACTGTATTAGTATCATGTCTCTAATAGACCTGAAAGGGATCGTTCATTGCAATATTATTATTGAGCTAAATTATGAATATGTTCAACTGATTTTGTATTCTATTGCGTTTGTGTTATTAGAGATTGAGCCCAGCACCTTTACACAGAGCTACATCTCCACCCTTTTTTAAATGTTTTATTTTGGGGAAGAGATCTCCCTAAGTCACTGAGTTGGCCTGGCTGGGTTCAGACTTGCTATCTCCTGCCTCAGCCTCCCAGAATGCTGGTATTACAGTCATGCACCGCCTCATTTGGCTTCCATTCTGTTTTTCTGAACCTGACTTTAACTCCACTCAAATTCCAGACAAGGACCTTGTAAACCACTTCAGAGGGATAAGTAGACAGGCCCCTAAAATTCGACCATAAGACTGCTGAAGTTCCCTTAAATGCTTTGCCCATGTGACAGAACCATCAGATCAGGAAAATGATCACATGGTGTGAGTGAGATTTTAATGGCTTCTACACTTAGAATCATTAGTTGGTAAGAATGAGCTTTGAAATCATCTGCTTTTATGGTTCTGCACCAGAGAAAGGTCGGTTTTGTTTCATTTGCCTATGTTACCATCATATAGACATGGATCTGCCTTATATTTGCTGTAAGCGGCATTGACTTCCTTTTATTACAGTTGCCACCACCCCCTCCCTAATTCTAACATGCTTTTATGTCTGATCTTTATTAGATCTTGCACATTGCCAATCAAACCTTGTGGAACTTAGCAAACTCCTGCAAAATTTGGAGATACTTCAGAGAACTCAGTCAGCACCTAATTTTACTGACATGCAGGTAAACCTACTACTGATGTTGGTAAAAAGACGTAGGTATTAACCTTTGATACTTCCTGGATTGTTCTATGAATATACAAGGTGACATTTAAAGGGAAATAATTGCAATACCAAGTAGCTTGTATTCTGGAGTTATTCTTAATATTTTGGATCTTGATATCATTGTGTTAATTAAGTGACTTTTTAAAAAAGATGAATTTTAAAAAACTGTTTTACATTTCAAATACAGTATGCATTGCTGTAGAAATATATATCTGAATCATTTTTTCATTATTTCTGTTGCCTTAGAAATGACAGTTTTGAAAATATAAATTTAGACACAGAATTATAACCATCTTTTCATGAAATAAACTGCTCAATCTCTGTAATCCTGTTGTCCTTACTTTGCACATCTGGAAAGTATATTTTACAATTAAAATATAATTTAGTCTTTGTCTCTGCTTTTAATGTGGCTCTTCTCTCTCCTGCCTGGTTTGCTTGAAGGTACTAACATGATTCTACACTAACTTGCTATGCTTTTTGTCTGCATGTGTATTATCCGTTGAACTAAATGATCTTTTGTTGCTTTTAATTATGTGTGCAATGTAGGCTAACTGTGTAGATATCTCAAAGAAAGACAAGCGGGTCACAAGACGCTGGAGAACAAAAAGTGTCAGCAAAGATACAAAAATACAACTGCAGGTACAGATTTTACTTTTCCTTCCTTCAAGTTTTCATGTACTTTTAAAGTATTAGTCTTTATATTCCGGTAAATGGGCATTAGCTTGAGAGAGCAGCTTAACTACTTTAAAAGCAGAGCTTTTCAAACAGAGTTGTATTGTCTGAAATAGTGGGAAATCTATTTAATTTGCCTACTTGAATATAAGTGAAAAGAATTTGAAAGAAGGTTAAAAGTGTATAATATGGCTGGAAAGTAGCATTTTCATTCTCAGTTATAGCCTTTGAGCCATGAAAACGTATTTTAACAAAAAGTCCCCTTTAAAATGTAGACTAAAAATTTGGTGGGTTGTAATGAACATTCATTTATATACACTGCAATAGATCTTAAAAGGGCCTTTTATGTGTCAACTTCATCCAAGTTTTTAATATATCAATAAAAAGAATAAGGGAATAACCCACATATCTGGGTTTTTGTCTAATCACTGTGATTTTCTGGCTGTAATTTTGTGTACATCTGTTGAATTTTCTGAGCCTCCATTTGCTCTTGGGTAAAATGATGGAGAAAATTTGATGATTTCTGAATTCCCTTTCAACTGTAAAACTATGTGATTCTGCAAAATAGATATTCTTTGACCTGTAAAAAACATTTTAAAATCTAGTCATAATAACTAGTGATAAATTTCCTTGAAATTTATTTGAAAAAATTTTTGACTTGAAATAAATAATTGTAAATTTTTAGAGGCCCTCTTTTGTTACTGCTTTGCAATGAAATAAAATATGCACATGCCTAAAACTTGAGTCATAAATCATCTTTCAGATATTTAAGCTGGAGTCTCTACTGTTCTTATCTTAGCTGTATATTATAAATGATTCTTGCCTTGTGCAGTTAAAATTAGACGTTATTTGGCTTTTTATTGTACTATAAATCAATTTATATCCCAATACAAAGGTTAAAAGGAAATGCTTTTCAGATATCTTCTATTTCTTCTGAATAATTAACAAAATAATGCTCTAATTTAACTGCTTCAATAACATTGTGTGCATTGTAACTCTCAAGATGTAACTGACAAACTTACTAATCTGATATTTTTAAAAATAAACTTTCATATGCACTTAAAGATCTATTTTTAATTTAGAATGTTTACATCCTATGAATGCAATTTTTTTGTGTTCCTTTGTTCAGTGTGTTTTTGTGTTTTCCCTTCTGTTCATAAAGTTAATACTTTAGGGACAAATCTGCCAAATGATTTAACAAGAAAATTACCTAAAATTGCCTTTGGCAGTTTTATTTGTTTTGATCTTGTGATTAGTGTGTGTGTGTGTGTGTGTGTGTGTGTGTGTGTGTGTGTGTGTATGCGTGTTTAACCTTGGTATCTGTGGGTCTCATAGCCAGAAAAAAAAAAAAGAATCATTTTGTAAATAAAAGAACCATTCTTTTAAATAAAATAATAGAAGAAAACTAGTATCATAAGAACATCTGCATTTGTGAACAGATATTATTTTGATGTTTTCAAAAAGTGTGCCAATGAGCAGATTCACGGTTGTTGTCTTGGGTGGGTTCATTGTCAGCAAGTTTGAGTGCCACATCCCTTGCTGTCTGCCCTGGCCAGGAAGCTCACCACAACCTCTTTTTTATCCTATTATTTCTAGTGGAAACAGAAACAGAATACAGTTCTGACTACCCCTCCTAGTCATAGGCTATGCTTTTAAGTACACAGAGAAGTTATCAAGAATTTTTTGAGTCTTCAGGGGAAAAAATTGTTCAAAATGCAGGAAGAATCTCTCCGTTTGTACTCAACATCTTTGTGTCATTTGTTTTAAAATTTTTATTTATTCTCTTTCGCTTTATTTTTGTTTTGCTAAAGAGTAACACAGTGGCCCTTGATTTTGAGGAAAATGGATATCATCTCATTCCCCTGCTCAAAGAATCTTTGTCCTTCAAAAGTGAAAGATGTAGTTCCAGCTTCATGCAGGAATAATAGACCTCAGGCGTCAATAAGCTATTACTCTTACAGAACATCCACTTTCCCTTGGACTTCAGCAAAGCACATGGAAGACTGAAATGCTGTAGAATCTGGTACCGTCCTGGACCTTTTCTGCTCACCTGAGCTACCAGGTCTTTCAGGAGCCCTCAGGATGCTCATTCTCTTTGACTGGGGAATTCCTCCAACTCTCTTCAACGTGCATCACTGCTAGATACCCAGAAGTTCAGCCAGAGATGACTATGAATATCATTACTCAGTAGTATTTAGACTACAGAGAGGCGCAGGATTTCATTTTACTCTATTAGATTGAGCCTTACTCCTACTTCCTCCCCACCATAATACCCAGATTTTCCCCTCCTATTTTGAATGCTTTTTGACTGTAATGCCAAGGATTGGTTTTAAGCTCATTATCATCTCACTTTCCCTGTTGTGACAGCTCATTTTCCATCCCCTCTGTTGTGTGCATGTTTTAGTTCCTCAGCCTTTGTGAAGAACCCAGTGGCCTGCTGCTGGTGGTTATGGCAGTGGTTATTATTGATGTTTTGTCCCTGAACTTTGCATTCAGCATTCTGTCTTAGTTGTCACTTTTAAATAATTATAAAATAGATCATTTTAAAGACTGGCCTAGGACAATAAAAATGAAGAATGTGTTATCATGGATATTCGATTGCTTATTTTTGTGTAGGTTAGATCATGCTCTTGACTCAAATGTGACAGTTATCTTCTGGACCAGAATGGCTATATTTCTACTAGATGCCATTGGGTAGTTGGCCTCACAAGTCTATTGTGTATCTTATGAACTCAGTACTTGCCCTGAAATGTTCTCTGAGATTACCTTTTAGAAAATGGACTTCCTGTCTCCTAAACTTTAAATTTTCTAATTCTATTAGTAATTTTAATATCATTATGCAGTAACAATTTTGCTGTATTACAAGGCAGAGGAAGGCAAGAAGGCAATAATTTTAAAGGTGTGCTATTGGAGAAAATGCTGCTAGATTTCCTACACTGCTAATAGCATGAATTAAATACTCAATCCCTAAACATTGGAGAAAATGGTAAAAATGAGTTCTTCCTTTTACTACATTAAGTAGAAAGGGATTTTGTATAGAAAACCTTCTGTGGAGAACAGATTGTCTATGTGTGTGTGTGTATGTGTGTGTGTGACATACATGTATACAGATTTGTGAAGATGGAAGAGAAATATTAAATATTTGGAAAATTTAAAGAGAATCAGATATAAGATTTTACAATATTTTTCTGTCATACTAAATGTAGGAAAGCACTCACGTTGTTTTTCAGTGTGAAGTGTTAAGTTATTCTAAGAAAGTGCCTCTTAGTTAATAGACAATGAAATTCCTGAACACCACCTTAAAGATTCAGTGTTTGTCAGGTGGAATAAAGTCCTTAGAAGGAAAAGTCCCTTAAACCCACCCTCTAAAAAGCAGAACAAAATGAGAAAGAGCTCTAAGATTCTTCTGTTGGTTTATGCAGAGATTCCCATTACTAAAGGAAATCTTTGCTTTCAGTTTTTCATAGCTGATTTTCTTAGGCATTATCTCCACAGACTGAGAAACTTGAGATCCCCCCCCCATCCTGTACTGACTTCCTCCTTGGAAAATTCTTCAACTTGAAGATGCCAGCATTCTTTCTAATTGAATCCTAGTGAGGAAGCTTGATGATGGGGGGCTGTATTGGGAAGTTGGGGAATCCTAGTACCCTTCTCCTTTTTACTCAGTAAGAAACATAAAATGTTTTAAACTTCTGCCTGGCCAATAGCAGGCCCTCCTTACAAACTGTTCCTTTTTAGCAGTTTCACATTATATAATCAGTTTTTCCCAAACGTGTTGTTTCTGCCACTTATTGAATGCATTTTGACTCCATATAATATGACATCACATGAATAAAAAACAGTATGCACACTTATTTTACCTTAAAATCACAGACTATTATCCATCAGTTCATAACTCTTCTCTTCCTTTTGAAGTAGGGGATGTGTTCACAAAGGTTTTTGCACAGGGTTTGAGTGACTTACAAAGAGAATAATGACCATTTGTCACTGCATGAATGTCCCTTAGAGCTCTGTCAGTGCTAAGGGTTTTTGTTTTTTATTCTTTAAAGAAAAGTCAACTTCAGTTAAAAAACTCTCCCTCTCCCTTGTCTGATTATCTTTCACCCTCCCGCACCCCACTTCTCCCTCCCCATCCCGTGTTTCTGCCCCCTTCTCTTCTCCCATTCACTGTCAGGAAGGGCCACCTGCGAAGGGCCAGTTCAGCACAACCCGGCGCCGGCAGAGGCTAGCGGCAGCAGTGGCTACCACAGTGAGTGGATTTCAATCTCAAGTGGAAGTTTAATAAGAATGAGAAAGCGTGTGCGAGGGTAACCTCTGGTCCCACGGTGCCACACATGCGCAGTGGCATCCTCGGTAGCCACGCCTGTTGGCATCGCCTGCGCATGCTCTCTGACTGCCTCTGCGTGGCAGAAGGTGGACATGGTGTTCATTCCGCAGTGGAGAACTATGACGTGGTTCTGTGTTCCACGTCTTCTGTCAGTATGAGAAATGCTTTAAACTCAACTTCAACTCGACTTTGCAAAACTTGTGTACAGTGCCCTGTGGTGGGAGATTTTCTTAAATCTACGGGTTTGGGTTTTTTCCTTTCCCCATACGGATACTGGAAACTGCTATTTCCTTTGCTGAAAACTCATGTTACTACAGACATAAATTGTGCTCTTTTTTTGTAGCACTGTGAATATTTGAAAAAGATGTGAGAAAGAAATGAGAGGGTAAGAAAAGGTGATTTTACCCAAATTACACTGAGCAACAGAAAACAGTTTTCTGGAAAAAATTCTGACATGAAAATGTAGTGTAGGAAAGAAAAACTAGAGTAAGAGGCTATGTAATCCATTTCAAGGGTTTGTTGTTGTTAAGAGAAAATAGAATCGATATAAGGAGAATAAAGAACATACTGAGGTAGACTGCAAAGAATGATGAAAATCCATATAGAATATATAATAGAATATCTAAATACATGAACCTTTTGCTAAGTAGTGTTATGGTAGTGTTAACCCTAGCTACTCGGAAGACCAAAGCAGGAGGTTCAGGGCCTGCCTGGGCAAAAGAAAAGAAAAAAAAGACCTTTTGCTGAGTAAAAGTAAATCATACAGTCATACATTTGCTTAATCGTGAAAGTCTGTGAACTTGTAAAATTAAGTATTACTGCTGTTGGAGATGTAGCTCAGGGGTAAAACACTTGCCTAGGATGCCTGAGGCCTTCAGTCTCCATCACCACTTTTTAAAAATATACAGAGTATTGAGTTCATAGCAATTATAGATGTTGGCTTTTTGGCTATTACATATTTCCTAAATGAACAGTAGTCTTGCTCCTGGTAAAGGTGGGATATATTTTAAGAGAAGATTGCTGAAAAATGAAAGATTTTGGTTGCATTGTAGAAAAATGGCTACTGGTATGAAAATTATTAGCTTTGTACTTTCTTAGTAATTGTCTCTGGCTTTATAACCAGGTGTATAGTTGGATTATTTGAGAAACAGAATTGTTTTTTTATTATGGAGACAACCCGTGTCTTGGAATTTATTAGGGAATTGACTCAAATTCAGTTTTGTGACTATTTGAACCAATAAATTATTAAAATTGTCTTCATGGTCAGTGTATGTTTTCACATGCAGATGAATAATCTGTGGCATTGGTGTGCTGACAAATTCTGACAGATACATGTACAGTCAGTTAAATAATTCTTAAATGTAATTTTCACTTATAAAATTTAGAAGTCCAAATGATTATGAGACAGAGAGCAACATCACAATGTGAGAAAGGTCATTGATTTTATGAAAACACTGTTTCTTTAAACAATGAACTCTTAAGATAGCCAGAAAATAATTGTCTTTTTCTGTTACTTTTTAAAATTACAGATACATACAATAAATGTAATAAAACTGGGATTAGCACCTGTTTGAATAGAATAAGCTCATCTTTTTTAAATGGAGGGTAGAAAAATTTAAAGCAAAAGTCATTAACATCTCTATCCCAACATAGCTGTACCTGCAGAAGTTATAAAAGTAACTAAGAAGTGTCTAATGAGAAAAGGCACTGGTAATATTTAGTAATGTTTTCAGGAATAAATTGGGGTGGGAGGAGGCTACTCTGAGCCCTCTAGGATCTGTAGTTTGAACTCCCTACTAAAACAGCAGCATTGAGCAGGGCCCTCAGTTGGATCCTGCAGCCCCTCTTCCTCATCCCAGGGACCTGGTCCTGATGACTCTGCAGGAGTTTCCCTTAATTCCTACTTTGATTTGATAACTTCAATTCTGAGAAGCCTTTTGCCTAGAATCCTTCCAAATGATTCCTAGTCACTTATTTCCTCACCCACTCTGATATCTGGCAAATGAGATTTGCCAAAGAAAGATATACCCCAGGAGATGTTTCCAGTATTTATTCTTGTTGACCCTTAACACTAGCACTCGGAATGGCCACCTCACGGCATCAGCCAGACCCACAGAACAGGATCTCGGAAACAGACTGCGGTCCCTTCCCCTGCTAGAGCCCTGAGGATCCCGGAGGAGGCAGTGCTGCTGTCCTCCAGTACACATAACAAGAATGACAGGAGCAGGGGACTTTGCCCACAGGCTCGATAAGACCTGTAAGCTTAGGATCTATCTTAGACAACTGTGTGTGCTTTCTTTCATGTTTACCATTGCTAAATTTCAGAGCCAACAGTTCTAGTCTCAATTTGCTTCTCTTTTCACTTCTTAGACGAATATTAAGAGCATCTTCTGACTTCCTCACTCCAAACCACAGTTACTGGTCCCAGAGTACGCTAGGATCAAGTTTCCTCTCCATTCAGAGGATTTCAAGGAAGCCTTGGATTTATTTCCAGAGCAACATAAAAGGCCCAAATGCAGCATTAAGGGTTCCCAGGTATAAACCTGGAGAGCTGTTGGCAGCTCCCACTCCAACCATCACAGACAGAGAAACTAGCTACCATTTAAATTATTAATTCTGCAGTGTCCAAAATGATGAATGAAAACCTAGGTGAATAAGTCCTCAGGCTGAAGAGATATTCATTTAGGTAGATTAATACATACCAGTTCGTATTCTCAGTTTTATTTCTTGAATTTCTCAATTAAAATGACCCGTTCCACACACAAGAAAGATACCAGTATTAACATCTTCAGTCAAAAGTATATAAAAATTAGTTTTCAATATCCTGGGGAACTGTCTTGTTGCAGTTTGAATGGAGCATTCCAACTCCCTGGGAGTAATATACAAAACCACTTTTACTGTTTTAATAGCCAGTTTAAGCCTCCATTATGTTCAACATAGAAATCTGTAGCTTACATATTTCTTCTCAGCGTCTCAGTCCCACATTTAAGAGAGAGGCCATTATCCCAGGGTCAAGTGTGGGTCCTCACTGGCCTCTCTCAGTTTTCACTACATAATGAACAGCCCTTCTGCAGCCTCTTGGCCCTTAAAACCCCTCACAAATGCACACAGTACAGACCCTCAAGCAAGCTGAGTCCTGGGCATGTTGAGGACTCCTCAGTGCATGCAAAACCCTTTTCCCTGATTCTCAATACATACGGCCCCCTCGCCAAACATTCACTTTCTTTTTCCCAATGTTGGTTCTTCTGTGGTTCTTCGAATGAAGAAGTCATGTCCTTAAGTTTGAAAAATCTCTGGTTTTCCCGTGTCTTTGACTCTCACTTTCACCATGACCTCCTGATCTCCACTAACCTTTCCGTGCATTCTCTGTTTCCCTCCCATAGGGGTAGGGTCTGACTGCTCTTTCTTGATTTTGCATCCCTACAGTTAAATTTCCTCTGTCTGTCTGCAGATGTCCACCTAAGTCCCCTTCCATTTTCTCAAATAATTTACTGCCACTTCTCTGTTTCAAATCTAGAAGGGGAAGAAACTTTGAGCCTCATAAGATAATGAAGCTGTTGACATCTCCCAGCCTGGGATAGTCAGGGTTCTCACAGAGGAGAGAGGAGCGTGTCATGATAATTCCAGATACTAAATGCTTTGGACAGTACATAGTGACATGCTTAGCTGAATTTAGGGGGGAATTATCGTGCTCGCTTCCCCAGTAAGCCTTGGAAATATTATGAGATAAATAACTATCTGCCAGTACAGAGCTACATCAAAAGGGCCTCTGTCTAGGTAGGTTCAGATGCCCCTCAGTTGTACTTAAGGCTTAAGTTTTTAGTTCTTTCTACCTTCTCTCTCTCCTTAGAAAGAGACAGCACCCAATTTCCATTCACACTCACCAAGTGTTCGGAAGCTTAAAGCAAAAACTAAAAATAAAATAAAAAGTGTTTTGTTTCCTTCCTCCTACAGGATATTTTCTGTTAGATGGGAATTATCCTTTCAGGTATTCAAAACTTAGCTTTGAGTGGAGTCTAGAATGTGGTTCCTACGGACGACTGAATGAACATCTAACAGTTAGGGAAAAGTTACTGGTGATCTGACTTGTGAGAAGAATCCGTATTTCATTTTTCCAAGAATGTTTGGCCAACAGCATTTGTAATGCTTGGGTAGCACCTTCTTGAAGAGGAAGGGAGGAAAAGATGCTTCTTTACCATCCATCTTAGGCCTATTCCAGAGCCAGCTTTGGACCAGGAAGTACCTCTAGCCATTTTCTGCATTTTGCTTTTCACTACTGGCCAGTTCATAAGCCATGCACATATATATAATAGAGTGTTGTGTAATATAGAAAGATAAATCATAGTGATTTATATAGTATATCTTCCATGTACTAATGTACACTTTAGTAAATTTATTTTCAAAATAATTGTGAGTTTCTTTAAGCCATTCTTTTATTTCCTGTTAAAATTGATTTGTATTTTGTCTAATGACTAAGGAGCAAGTGAATCTTTCTGTATACACACCTCTCAAGTTTTTACATACTTAGTTAGGTCTTGCTCCAGGCTCAGGGAGATGTGAGCACAGTCCTCTACCATAAGTGCTTTGACTTTGTAAGAGAAGGCCACCGATATCATAGTTCAGACTGCAGCTTTCAGCCAGTGATTTTTTTAAATGTACAAGGGTGGTTTCAGATTGGAAGTGAATTACACCTTCCTTCCTGTCATTCTGTAATCATCACTCCGTAACAGAGAAAAACCAGGGAGTCCATGACGTCAACTATGGGAAATGAGACTCTTTTCCCAGCCCAGCTACCTGCAAAATAAATGAGTACTAAGCCTCTCCAAGCACGTCGTCAGAGGAGAATCTATCATTTTAAAGAATGGGAGGGATCTTTTCTGTGTTAAGAGAAAGTGGATCCGTGCACTACCGCTCTTTAATAATTTGTACTTCCCCTTTCAGGTCCCTTTCAGTGCCACGATGTCGCCGGTTCGCTTGCATTCCTCCAACCCCAACCTGTGTGCAGATATTGAATTTCAGACTCCCCCTAGCCATCTCACTGACCCTCTGGAAAGTTCAACAGATTATACAAAGCTGCAGGAAGAATTTTGTCTAATTGCACAGAAAGGTAACGGCAAATACAATGTGCCCTTTAAGGAAGGTCTCTTCTTTGATGAGGGAATTGATTGATAAAAGATTTGTTCTTTTATATTTGTGTAGGGGATAATGGAACAAAGATTAAATAGTTTTTTATGCTGGTGGGAGTTCTAGACACAAAATGTGCAGGCTGAGGTTCCTGCCTCTTGGGAAAATAGACACCACAGGTCTCACTTTTGACTGAATTAAGTGTCACTGCGGGTGGGGAGAGAAGAAAATATTATCCTAAGCAGTCCAGTTAGGTGCTACCACTCATCTTGTTTTTGCGGGGTGGGATGGGGGGATTGAACTCAGGACCTTGTGTTTATAAGGCAGGCAGTGGAACTACTGAGCTAAATCCCCAGCCCCTGAAAAATGTCTTTTTAATACAATTGCATTGCTTATCCTTTGCAAGGAAAAATAGATTCTATTTGATTTTTTAAGACAATATTCACTTATTTTTAAACAATATTTAGGCAGAGCTTAGCTGAGAGCCACGCTTCTGCACAGTGTTCGAGGACCATGCTCAGTCAATGGTGTTTGGCCAGAGGCTGGGCTGAGCTGAAAGACCCAGAGTGGTTTTCCTCCTGTGCCTGGCACATCTGCAGGACAGCTGCGTGGCTGCCCACAACTGTGCCCTCCTCCTGTCCCTGACAGTTTGGGCTCCAAGAGGCTGGAGGTGGAAGCAGCTTCCTTCCAGGCCAGCTCTGAAACTGACGCAGTGTCTCTTCCACTAAACTCCGCTGCTGGTCAAAGTGTCATGGGCAAGCCCAGAATTGAGGAAATAATAAATCAACCACACTTTTGAGTCTCTTTTTTTTTTTTTAATGTATTAAGCTTTCAGTAAGATTTGTTTGTAAGTTAGTTATCTGCTCCAGAGAGTAGGGTATAACAAGGAAAAAGCAGGATAGTAGGATGTAGAAGGACCAAGCAGTCCTGTCTGTCTGTGCTGTTCCCAGATTAACTCCTCTCTCACTGTGTTGTACGTAACTAACATCATTTGACTTAGAATGGTACCTTCTTGGGTCTCTTAAAATCTCGCGAGAGATATGCATTGTGTTGTTTCAGCCCAAAACACCTTATGGTGAACTCATCATTTATTTCCCCTGGGGCTGTTGGTAGTAATTTATAAAATATCCTTGAGAATGTGTGTTAAATGGCACATCTTTATGTAACCCCGATACTCAAGAGCCTGATGTTTTAGGAAAGAATGTCCCTAGGCATCCCTGTGAATGTTGAACTCAACAAAAAATGTACAGACTCAAAACACAATCAAAGATGGTGGGCTTCCCAATTAACTTTTCAAAGAGCCTTGACCTCTAAATTAATTTCCTTCTTACTGTGCTACTCTAAATTCCAGATATGGATATGTGAGAGATAATTATGTAACAGATAGTCAGATCTTTAATTCCATAACCCTAAAACATTAAATGAAGTCATTTTTATCCTTTTTTCTATAGATTTGTCAGTCGATACGCTATAAGGTCAACTCTGCTTCACCTGCTTTTTCAGTCCTAGCAAGTACATTTCTATTGCATTTTTAACTGGATGCTAATTATGTTATTAGGCTACAGTAATAACATTGTTCCCATAACAGCAGAGATTTACAGCCTGTAATTTCTACTCCTGGAGCCGGGTAGCAGCTGATAGACTAAGACAGCAAATCAAATGTGTTAGTTGAGAGTGTGGGAGCCCCACAGCTGTTCCCGGGAGGTGGACTCATTTGCAGGCGGCCCCAGGAAAGCTTTGTCTGTTTGTTCACAATCCTGAAGCTTTCAGGAAATCCAAGTTTCAACAGTTTTAAAGCTTCCTTTGAAACGGTTTTCAACAGACACACGTATCTTCTATGCTAGAAAAATAAAAGATTGTGCTTGCTAGGCAGGCCACCAAACCACTGAGCTAAATCGCCCCCCCGACAACAGTTTTAAAGCTTCCTTTGAAACGGTTTTCAACAGACACACGTATCTTCTATGCTAGAAAAATAAAAGGCCTTTCCATGGCTGTTGTGTGGCTGCTTGGAAAGCATTATGAATTTCTAAATGAGTGAGGAGACTGCTTTTAGAGCCACCAGCAGTGTTAATGCAGTGCAGCTGTAAGTTATTAGCTTTACACTGGTGAAGGAACCTAGTACATAAAGGAATAGGTTATCCATCCTTGACATCCTGCCATTTCCCCCTTTAATTCAGGCCACTATATTTTGGGCTAAAATTTTCCACCTCTTTTAAAAATAACTTTTCCTAAATAGGAAAAGAGTTGTTTTAGTGCAAAGACTTTGCATGTGATAGAAGCTCTGTTATTGTAAGAAAATAGGAGTTAGCTCTTTGTAGTTCAGGATGAAAGCCTGCTTCCGATTTTACCAATGTCACTTGTGAAGTGTGGAGGAAATGGAGCGAGTGGTGTTCAGCGTTGCTCTTAGACCCAGGCATCTTCAGCACCGAGACCTTCCTGGCTGAGAAGAGAGTTCAAGTGCTCTCGGGCAACTATCGGAACTTCCACGGCAGCTGTCTGTGTTGTGGTGATAGGATTCATAAAATGCTCTTTTTTAGAGAGTGTACTTTTGGGAAATAATTTTTGACTAATTCTAAATGATTTGTGTGACAGTTTATGCTACACGGAATTGCTCAAAATATTATCAAATATGGCAAGTAAAATATGTTCCTTTTTCAAGGATTATAAATTAATTTCTACATATTGATATTTAGAGTTGATACATGATGTTTCCACATCTTTATTGGCTTGTCTGGCATGAAAGACAAAAATGTTCACCCTAATTAATTATAATTACCATATTTGTTTTGAGTGTAGGTACTGCAGTCTGATAGATTTCATTTTCAGGATTATTTTTTTATTAGACTGCAGCATAGCTTTTCCAGAAAATGTCTAGGTATGATTAAAATTCTGAGGAGTTTATCATATTGTATGTTTGTTCTGGATGCATTTAATTTTTGTTTCTCACTTTTCTTCCCACCCAGTGCATTCTCTCTTGAAGTCTGCATTTAATAGCATAGCTATAGAGAAAGAAAAGCTGAAGCAGATGGTTTCAGAGCAAGATCACAATAAAGGCCACAGCACCCAGATGGCCCGGCTGCGGCAGTCACTGTCTCAGGTAAAGAAAGTGTTAGTTTTCCCATGTGTGGAATGGTCCCAACTCGATCAGGCACAAGCTGGGGGTGGAGGCATCAGGCCTGGGGTTGGCAGATCCTCTGACATTCTCTCTTGAGTCATTACAGTGCTGGTATTGAGCTTTGCTATCTTTCTTCCCCAAAATGTCAAGGTAAGAGTGAGAATAAACCAAACTTGCTTGCACACATATAATTGTTATTCTGACTAATTGAATACTTAATGTCTAAGTTCATTTATAAGGTAGCCCTGATTTTTAAAAACAGGGGGGTTTAAACATCTAAAATACGTTTCAAAATATATTGCCCTGCCAGGGATTTAGCTCAGTGGTGCCACCACCTGCTTCGCAAGTGCAATGTCCAGAGTTTGAACATCTTTGATCATCCCTGGTCTGGGGATATATATATATATATATATCAAAATCTACTAGATCTTCTTTTTATTTCTGAAGTACAGCCTTGGGGTTCTCTTCCTAAGATGTTTTCTGAAGCTAAACTTTTGCATTTCCATATGTGGCATGTAGTTGGTCTTGTTAACACCAAGTCCTTATGTATATTAAAATTGAGATTTCTGATACAAATCCCTTAGTTTTGTGTGTGCCTTTTTACTCTGAGTATGTCCTCTGAAGGAAACATTTTCTTCACTTAGCCCATAGATGCACTTATTTTAATTCCTTTGAGAATTCAATGTTGTTATATGATTGTATGTGAGAACTCAGTGTTCATATAAAATATTATTCACTTCCTGGTGCCTTGGATCAGAGTGAAGGAGCAAGCAAATCCTGGGTAAGTGGCTCTCCATGTGGGTCAGATTCCGCCTGAATAGTGACTTCAGTCCCTAAAAGTTAGACCTAAACTGTATTACCATGTCTTCCGTACTTGGATCGTCAGCATATTTTCAGTGTTAAGTTTTGTGTCCTGGATTGGCTGCTACCTGGCCACACTTCCTGCGTTCACCATGGTGCACGCTGCTTCCAGTGCTATGCCGGGCGGGGGTGGGCTGGGGAGCATGCGCATCCCCCAGCACTGTCCTCCAGCCTGCAGCGGGTTCACTCCTAGAAGCCCTTAAGGATTCTCCCTGGACTCTTCTCAGCACTCCGTGGGCATTAGTAGATCTTATGAATCATTACTCTGAAAATGTCATGAATCGAAAAAGTCAAGATAATAGTCAAATTAACACATAAAATATACTCTTGGTCCCCTAAGTGTTGCACTGTTTCCTTAATATGTGTTTAATGATGAAAGCTTAGGTTATAAGTCAAACACGTAGTAAGAAAAATAAGAAAATTTGTTTCTCGCTTGCTGCTTGCTTTTTTTTTTTCTTTTTTTGGTAAGAATCATTGGTAGAGATGTAGACTTGAGCTTTAGGTGAAATTAGAAGTGATTAAGAAGAGAAATTTAAAAAGTTATTTATCTGTTCATTCCTTTACTCCACTCACTGTGTACCAGGTATTGAGCAAGATAATGGAACACTATGTGTTTGTTTCCCAAGAAGCTCATGATCTGATTGGGAAGATGAGCAGTATTTACCCAGGAGATGGTATAGAAAGGACCACATCACAGCTTCCACAGCAATGCAATGCATGGTGGTGTGGTTTGTAACGCTCCAGTTGTTCATTAGAATAGGAGATCCCGAGCTGAGAGCAGAGCCACAGCTCAGACTTGCAGAGTTGACACGGATTAGCCTACTGCTGACATGATAAAAGTAAAATAAAGCAAAATTATATAAACTTGCATCCTTTGGGTTAAAATATTTCCCTCTCTTGTGAAAGCACATTAATTTGCATCTAAAGTCGGAGCTTCAGTAGATTTTTGTTGGGTTCTTTGGGTTCTGTTTGTTTTATTTAGGTGTTTGTAGACAAAGGACTCGAGATGTGAAAGCCATTTGGCATATGAAAACTGTTGCACCCCCTCCTCTGGACAGTCTGGTGCTCAGAACTGTATTGTCAACGTGTTTTAGCTGTGTTCACATTTTGCATCCACCCATGCCTTCAATTGGGCCAATCATTGCTTCACAGGTCATCTTTTCTGACCTTCTGACCACTGTGAGGCTGAATTCTGTTTTAGAAATCACCACAGCCTTTGCATAGGCATTGAAAATTAATGATAGCTTACCCTTTCTGATGAATCACTATCCATTATTAGACTACTGGAGAGGTGACTGAAGAGTGGGGTGAATAAGGAAGTTACTCTGGGAATAGCTAAGTGGGTAGGAACCAGCTCATCAGGGTGTACACAAAAGAGTATCCTGTTGGTGATGGGGTGGACTTGAATTTAACTGGTTAATGATAATGCTAGATGTTGAATATATTACTGCATGTTTCTGTGTATTAGAAAGATCAGCCTGGCATGGCATGAGGAGGAATGAAATTGAAGCAAAGCTAATTGAGCAGACTCTTAGTATTTGAAATAATTCAAGAATGTATTATTGATGCTTGAAACAATATTCCAGAACTAAGGAGATACTCGCATCAGTAGAGGAGAGGATGGGTTTCAGAGACACTGAGGAGGAGTGATTGCTCGGAGATCGGATGAATGTTAGAGAGAGACAAGGAGACAGAGTCTTAGATACCTGGGTATATGATAGTTCTTTGCCCTAAGAAAGGGAACAAGAGGAAATGGCATTTCAGAAATACATGATGAGTGATTTTATGGATCATCCAGCAGGCAATGGGCTATATGGATGTTGATGATTCATATATCCAGTCTAAATAAAGGAGATTCAGCTGTACTGGTACTGCTTGTTATAGAGAACATTAATGTTTTAAGATCAGGCTAAGAAAAACGATTCTTTGATGGACACCCAAGGGAAGCAGCCAAGGAACTGGGGAGTGACAATCACTGAGGTCAAGAGTAGAGTTCTAATAGTCTCAAGAAGGAAAAAATTAACAGCATCTGATTAAAAGCAAGTAATATGTGCCCTGATGTTGACCCTGGAATTTGGCAGTCATCACAGCATGTTTAAGAAGAATGAACCAGGTGAAGATGCTAAGGGTGGGAGACAACTGGTGCAACCATCCCTGTTGCCAAGTCTTTCTTTTTGTTTTTCAAGTCTGTTTTCACTGTCCTTACTTTATTTTAACACAGCACTTAAGATTAAACAAATACTGAATAGCTTGAGTACAGGGAGACTGTTGCCTTCCAGGCTTTGAGTATATTTTTATATTAGTACAACTTCACCTTGCAGTGTGATTTCAAGGTAGCCTGGGGCATTTTTGGTCCATATTCAAGTGTCACCAGTTAAATCCCCAGTTATCTTCCTCATGATCAAATCTTTCCAGAGAAAAGAAAGGAAGGAGAGATGGTATTGAATTAACTTTAACTAGCCTAATATGCTTAAGCTTATATTTTATTTGACATAAATCCTATTTGATTGGTCTCTAATGATCAAAGTGCTGCTTTTTAATGAAGTATTTAAGAATATGTATCAGCTCTGAAAATTCTGTAAGCCCTTTACAAGTCACATAGCATATAAAACACATGAAATTATCATTCTTCACTACATGTTCAGCATAAATTGTTACCTGCCTTGAGTGAGTAACAATGTTCAGGGCTGGACAATTAAATGAGTTCCTCTTCTAAAATAATATTACTTCTTCAATCCTGTGTGCACACATGTGTATGTAATTTTGTTATTTTTATCCCCATGAAACTTAAACTAACTTTCACACCTGGAAGACTGCATAGCTGTTGAGCTTAAACTTACAGGGCAGGACGTTTTATGCAGAAGCTATCACTTTGAGATGACCTTATTACACATCAGCTATAATTTCATGTCCTGTTTTATGTAGTACCCTGAACATCAAACTCAAGTACCTTAGCGCCCAACTCTGCCTGAGTATATCCTCCATGCACAGTGTTACTAATTTGATTTCTGGGCCTAGAATTTATGTATATCTTGTGCTAAATATAAAGTATCAGGTCCATACAAATGCAAGCAGAAAATATGATCTATCTTCTCCAGCTAGAATTACTATGTTTCATTAAATTAATATGCTATCCATTGTTGGATGCATTATTATTTTGTGCATTACTGACAAAAAAAAAAAAAGACCATTACTGTCAATTGAACTGATGTTTTGCTTCAGAGATGCTCAGTTTGGGGAGAAATATGCATCTTAGAATCAGTGAAATATGTTGCGTATGAGAATGTGAGCAAAAATACTGGCTTGCAGCACATCGTGGCTTACTTCAAAAGTCCCAGTTGTAGTATCTGCCATTTTTCCTGTACACATTTTACATGCCCAAAATAAATATATTGTGATGGGATAGAATTTCCAAATCTATTTGGTCCTGAATGCCACAGTTCCTGAGACTTGCTCAAATTTATTGTGCATGAAGATAGTTCTATCAGAAATTTTTTAAAGTATCTGTCATATTTAAATTGCTGTCATTTTGTCTATAATTTGGCAATATTTAAAGTCTTAAAGAGTTTTTACCCATTGATCCTGTAGGTTGTGTTACTGTGACTACTAGTTCAAGGAAGTAAGGCTGAATATAAAAATATAATTATGTTCATAAATATTCATGCCAGCATTATTTACTCTGGTAAAAGTCAGTAGCCACATTAAATGTAATAATAGGAAATCATTGCTTCTTATGCAACTAAATTATGTTTCTGAAGAGCTTGCAACATAAAAGAAATACTTATGCAAAGAATAAGAGGGAGATACTGCATGCAAACTATGTGCCCAGTAAACTGTATGAAAAAATGAATAGAAAACAATTTAGAGATCAACCAACCACCAATAGTTGAGTAGTAAGAAATTTTTTTAATATTCTACTTTTTGCATATAATATAATAGTATCTTTAATTCAAAAAAATCAGAGCTGATTTTAAAGAGATACCCAGCATTTGGTTTTTGGCAGTACTGTCTTTGACAGTTTCCACACTTACTTTCTCATTCATATTGAACCAGTTTTATTTACTTTTATCCAAAGTGTCTGCATCTGTGATGATTCTCTCTTGCAGTATGTTTCAAATCTTTCAACCATGAGACTGCTGTGTTTTCTTCCCCAACTCACATTTCCATTTAATAAAACGTTTATTACAATCTCAGCCAGTCTAAGGTAAATTCTCATCCATTGTCTGCAGGGTTAATAGCTACATAAGTAGGGATTTAGGTCCTTGATTCTAGCCCAGAACTTCAAATGGCAACTTCTGTTCTGCATGAAAAGGAATTGTACATTTCTTGGATGTATCTGGCTTGAGTGTGAAGGACACAGCCACAGGCAAATGAGCTGCCATGCAGAGTTTCTGTGGCAGTACAAGCTCACTTAAGTAAGTAGTGAGCATGTGTGTAAAACCTTCTCAGCGAAGACTTTAGAGACAATTCCTAGCTCCCAGGAGCTCCCTCCCTGTCAGGCTTTGGTCCTACAGCCACTAATAGAACAGAATAATCACTGACAGGTCTCAATAGCTTTTCTTGCTCATTGGCTGGCACCAGTGGCCGGTGATCTGCCTCCTTTTTCCTTGCTTTGCCACTGTTTGCTCTCCTTGAGGACCTTCCTTACACTACTTCTGTGTCTTCTGGGTTCTCTCGTGTTAATTATCACTGAGAGCCTCATTTCCCTGGCAGTGCCTATGTTCTTCCACATTCCCACAATTTCTGTGGTACCAGTACAGAGGAAAGAGGTGAGGGATGTCCCAGTGTGGTCCTGAGCATGCCCTGAGAGTGCTGTACCATGCAGCACTAGGCACTTGGCTCTAGCAAACTTCAAAAACAGCCTGTATGGTCCAGGTAAAAGGAGGAGCCAGCCTGGGTAAGACACACAGAAATGGGCTATTGCATGCTCGGTGGGCAGCTTACTCTGTACCATCGGAGTTGCCAGAAGTGGATATTTACGTCATGCTTTTTGTGCTGTTGGAGAAACAACTTTTCTCCACCACCACATATATATTATTAACGAAAGTATTCCTTTTAAATTTTTTGCTTCGAATTCCACACGCATGTTTGAAATAATAGAAGCAGGATGGAGTCTATCTTGGGTCTCTGAAGGAGAATAATAAGTACTAGAATGCATTGCCATATATGTAAAATAGGACCAAACACTGCTCACTTGTGGCACAATATTCATATTTAATCAATCAACTGTAATTCTGTAATTCCTAAGCAGTAAAGTTAAATGATGACACATCCTTGGCTTTAAATTTTAGATATAATTTCAAAAAATTTACTTTTGAAGTTTAAAAACTTAAAGAATAAAAATTTCTATTTTTCTTCATCTCAGTAAGAAATACTTTAACCAGAATTTCTCTTTTACCCCCTTACTACCTACTTGCTACCCATTTGTCACCCAGTTGAGGAAAAAAGAGTTCCAATAAGAGAAATGATTAATTAAGGACGTAAGTGTTTTTAAAAGCTCTTCAGACCATCACAGTGAGTGTCAAACTTTTCATATAATGTAAAAAATATTTTCTTTTCCTATTAGAAAGTCAAATACTTATGATCAACCCACTGAACACAGAAAACTTTCTAACCATCATGTAAGAATCAGAAAGAAACCAAAATTATTTTTACATTATCCTGGAATGGCACTTGCTCTTCACAATGATAACTAAAAAGCATGTACGATTCTTAGTGTTTCAGTGAAATTTGAAGAGGACTTTAAAAGTTATCCAGTACCATTGCCTTATTGTTCACCTAAAGAAATTGAGGTCCAGCAAAACTAAGTATCTTGGTCCAGACCAGTTACCCTACCAATCAAGAAAACCTCATCTGTGGTTCCTATCCAGGATATTTTATTTTTTCACTTTACATCTAAGAAAGGAAAAAAAATACATTTTCAGATTTCAAAAACACTTTTCCCTCATTTTTTCTTGCTATTAATGGCTATAGATTATCTTGTGCCCTTCACACATACCTGTTAGGCAGGATTGTATTTAGTAAATAAGGAGAGGACTTAAATGAGCATTTTACATTGTTAAATATCCAGAGAAGACAATTCTACACTTTCCTCAAAACAGCAAACTTGTGTTTAACTCGCCCATGCTGGAGAAAAACATTTCTTATCCGTGCCCGCGGGTTTTTGTCAGATTATTTCATTAACATCATTCCAGCAACGGCAGAGGTGCGGTTACTTGGGAGGAACCTTTAGTTGAGGTTTGTATAAAACCCTCATATTAAGACTTATCCTGCAATTAAACGTATCAAACAGTTTACCGTGAGGCCTCCTACTCGGGCAAAATTGATCTGGTTCCAAAAAGTTCAATGACCGAGACAACTTACACATACTTGTAGGCAGAGAAATAATGAAAGAGCAAGTAAAAAGTCTATGGTAGCCACAAAAGATAAGATCAACAGAGGGTTGGTGTTTTGTTTTTTTTTTCCTAATTTTAAGTACTTGAGATTTTTGCTCTAAAAAAAATTACCCTGAGCATTTTTGCAGAATGAAAAGATATTAGGAGTCTTCCTTTGAGGCACATAGTTTTGGATTTTTTTTTCTATTAAGAACATAGTTTTTCTAATTCATACCTGCTTTCTCCGATGATCGGAGACGCATTCCTCCTATCTGCAAACATAATAGCTGTTGTTTCTGTATCCACTTTTAATCCATCAGTACCTGACACAACAGATCAAGTGTATTATGTATTTTATGCATTTTACAAACTGGTTTTGAAGTTTTTAAAGAAAAGCCAGAGCTGCAAGTGAACATTTCCGCCCTCAAAAAGCAAGAGCTTGGCTAAAGGCAGGGAAGAGTGGGGAACAGGGGTGGAGGGAGGAGAGAAGCTTACTGCCCCAGGCTTGAGAAGAGGCCCTATAGTACAAGCTCAGAATCTCGTTCCTTTGTGTTTTCCCTGGGTGTTTCAATAGGTATAGTTATAATTATGATATTATATTTGTATATGTATTGGTTTATTATATGTATTGGCTCCAGATGAAGCAAAATGGCTGTTCCCTGGGAGAGATGCCCTCTTAGTAAACTCTCACACTGATCCTCCAAAACATCCTCCACCTTCCAAAGGCTAATTTTAACGGGAAGGAAAAGAATTGCCCATCATTTCACTGGGCCTTATCCTCACACAGGTGTTATACCTGAGGCTTGGTACAGTTCTGTGAACCACACCTGTCTTACTGGATGTAATGGATCCTCATATGGCAGTGTGGTGTACATTTCCAGGGCACTCACTCAGCTTTGGTCCTTGGGCCCTGTAGGGAGGCCATGCTATGTAAAGTTGTTCTATTCTTGCAATAAATGCAATTGTTGCACATACTAAACTATGTTGTAGCAAGTGGTGTTTTATCAGTGCCAACTTAAGTGTGTTGAAAGTGGTGTGGTATAGGTAACTTGGAGTGGTTTGCTGTCGGTCTTACGTTCTTTATTATGGTTGTCAGTGTCTGCATTGGTCAGTGAAGTCCCCCTTTGGTCTGCACTTGAGTTAGGTCCACTGTACTGTCATATGTGTTAGTGATATGCTCCCAGAAAATGAAAATACAGCTGTTTTCTTTAACCAGACTAAATATAATTCTATAAACTAAAACCAGTTTATTATTCATTCCATTTCCACAGAATTCTTAAGGTAACTACCTGGCTTTGAAATGACTGTCAAACTTTAGAAAGAGAAAGAGAGACAGAGAAGGAGAAAGAGAAAAAGGAAGGAAGGGAGGGAGGGAGAGAGAGAGAGAGAAGGAGAGAAAGTGAGAAAGAAAGAATTTTCATCCCAGGCTGCAAAAAGTAATATACATGAGGTGGTAGACTGGGCTTGGATGTGTGGGCCTGCCTGTACGAGAGATCAAATTCCATGCTATCATTTTTATAAAGTCCACTAACTCAGCCCGCAAATCTAAGTAGTGATCTTATAGTGTAAAAAGACTTTATACCTTAATTCTGAGCCCTCTATTTCCTGCCTCAATGATTCTAAAAGTAAGAGCATCATTCATATTGTTGTCAAAGTTATACCTGTATACTCAATCTATTTTATGCTTGCTTGTTAATTTGAAATTACAAATGTGGTTTTTGTTATTTTAAGGCACTCAACCAGAATGCTGAACTGAGGAGTCGGTTGAACAGAATACATTCAGAGTCTATTATTTGTGATCAGGTTGTCAGTGTAAATATTATTCCTAGCCCTGATGAGGTAAGACTCATTTTTAATAGATGTAGAGTACCTATTTCATAGCATCTAGATTTACTGCACATTTGTGTCCATTTTTGTACAATTCTTTTACTATTAATAAGATTCCCTCCATAAATATTCGTGTTGCTGACAGTTCAGTATTCTTTGGAATACAGAATTTACGAATTTAGTATCATATATTCTCGGTGATCACTGTCTCTTTTCCCCTGATGTCACCAAATATCTAATTTAAATATCTATTCCAGACTCTTACTTTTCTGTGTTTGATTCTTTATCTAAGATGTTCGTTAGCACTGAATGGCCAATGAAATATTGAAAAAAAATTTTTAGTTGAGATGCTGCTAAGCAGAGGTTTCCTAATACTGGGGCATAGCACCACACATCTGTAATCCCACTACTTGGGAGGCTGAGGTAGAACTCTGACTCAAAATAAAGAAAAAAAAATCTGGGGATGTAACTCAGTGTATACCCTGGGTTCAATCTTTACTGCAAAAGAAAAAAAAATATCCTGAGGGTTTGGAAAGAAAAGTCCACTGATCTTGCTAAGATGATACTACTGGTGCCACAACAGCCCCCACTGGTGACAATGATGATTAATAGCTCACAGGTGCCAGGTGAATGCTTACTGTGTGGCAGGTATCGTGCTAACTACTTTGCATGTGTCATCTCATCTGATCCTTGCAACATTCTCTGAGGTAGGTGCTATTATCCCATCTTTCAGTCTGAAGAAATGGTAAGAGAATAGGAGAACATTCAGAATCTGAGCTAAACTTCAGTGTGTCAGTGTGTTTATGAACCTTTGTAAATTTGTTATTTTATGGCCAACGTACACTGACAGTAATATTAGAGCTTTGTGCATAGTGATACATGTAGGTGATACTACAGGTCGTATTTACACCCAAAACACAGTGGTACATGTAAGTAATACTGTAAGTTCATATTTACACCAAAAACATATGTAAATCTCCTGATGTAAGTATCCCAGACTACAGAAAAAAGAAGCATAGTGTACCACCCAGCTATTTAGGGTATGTTACCCCAAAGCAACTTGCCTTTGACTTTAGTTGCCTACTCTGTATCTGTTCACCTGATCTCTGGCAACATCTACATTCACTCAGCTGCCCAAAATTTAGAAATATTTGAAAATTTATCATTCAACAATTATTTAATGATCTTTAATTAGAATATTGTTAATCTGTAATATACATTAGATGTCAAGTATATATATATATATTTCTGATTAAATTCACATAGCTTCCTTGAAAACAATATTTAGTACTTAGAGAATAAATACTATAATCTGAAATGAGGTTCAGTACCTTTCAACTGTGCCTTTTAAAATCTTTAGCAACATAGTAGAAGGAATCTTACACAGTTCAAGTGAAAATTACTGGTGGTCACCAATCTCTTAACTGGTGTGGGTTTCTTTAAAAGTCTGGCTAATGTGAAGGAGTAGCTTTCCCACAGGAGTACAAATGATAGTAACATTTGCTTCTCTTTTCTGTAGCCTGGTGAGCAAATCCATGTCAGTCTCCCCCTGTCCCAGCAAGTAGCCAATGAGAGCCGCCTCTCCATGTCAGAGTCTGTGTCTGAGTTCTTTGATGCCCAAGAGGTGCTCCTGTCCGCCAGTTCATCAGAGAATGAGGTAAGGCTGCTGAGCGTGTCAACCTCAACTGCTTGTGACCATGAGTTTGAGTTAAAGAAAGTAAGATTGTGGAAGTTTTTGGTGGCCATGTTTGTTCGTGTGCATCATAGATGCTCAAATTGTAGGAGAGTCAAAAGCATGCCGACCATATTGGTTCCCATGTACCGAGCACTTGGCCATACTTTTGGGCATCATTTTATTACTTTTGAGTCTGATAATAAAGCGAAAGAGTTAAATATGTATTCTGACTTTTTTCTGTGTTTGCTATTGTAGGATAGCCAAATAGTCAATGATATGGGGTTCTTTATAGGAAACTAGCTAAAGAATGTAAGAAGAATGGGAGAAATAGAAAAATCACCATTCAGGTACACACACAGACGTTGTACATCTTTGCCAGTGATGTGAATTGGAGATTAGAGGGATAATGTCATGCTAGTGTCTAGCACATATCTCATTGGGTAATTGTGGTTCTTGGAAGTTAGCCATTGGCCACCACAAAAGCTGTATTGGGTTGCCACTTTTTTGTAAGCCTCGGCAAGGTCTTAGAAACAGGGTATCTCTTTCTAAGGCAGGATTTGGAAATTCTTTTACTGAAATTTACTCAAGTATGCTTTAATTTTTTTTTTTTTCATAAGGGAAGCAGCCAGAACTTTCCCACATAATGTTGACTTTCATCATTTGGTACTGCAAGTATGTAGCACATTTTTACCAAAAAAAAAAAAAATGAAATAGTTGCTAAATATTACTCCAGTAAGATAGTTGGGAAGGAAACATCCTGACAATTAGTAGCAGTTGTTTTGGGATATTTACAAGTATAACTAATTTTTAAAACAAATATAAAGTGGAATGGAGAAAGAAATAATGAACACATATCGTGTTTATAGCAGAGGAAATGTCAATAGAATTCTTGTGTCAGGTGCTGAATTTGTTAGCTTACCAGGGCATGCACCTGCCTCTGAGATCTCCAGGCAGTCATTAACAGGTTCAGAGAGATTTCCTATCACAGGCAAGACAGCTAGTTTAATTATGTGTGATGGTAATTGATGCTATCAGATGAACAGAATAGTAATGCTAGGCATTACTGTCTCTTTGCCTGCAGGCAAATCTGCAGAACAAGTCTAATTGTAGTCAGGACTGCTTAGTGAGCAGTGAGTGGAAGCAGAAATGAGCTGAGTGAACTTTAAAGTCAGGAGGGCCAGATGTATGGCTCCATGCCCCTTTCCACTTATAGAGATACTCTGCCACACAGATAGGTGTTTGTGTCCTCGCCCCTGCAGTCCACCGTGCTGGAGATAAGCTACTTCAGTTTTCTTTTGTGGCTGACTTTTTGAGCTCCTATTGCTGACCCAGTACTCCCTTTTTCAGTCAAGTTACAGTCAAACTTGACTGCACCTTATCTGAACTCAGACCCATCATCCAGTGACTTTATAGCCCCACCTCAGCAAACATATTTCCCTAGTTCCAAATTCTTAGTGCACACTCAGTTGGATGTCCAATATCACTTTCACTAAGTACCAGAGATACAGAAATGAAGATGGTAGGCAGCAGATTATTTCATAAATCCAAGCAAGATATTGGTGGTAACCCTCGGGGAGAAGTGGCACCATCCCTAGAGAGCAGAGGAGGGTAGAGGGCAGAATGGAAACAGTTCATTTACTCTGAAGCATCATGAGTCTGCAGGACCACCTCCCAAAGGGTCATTTATCAGACCTTTGACAGGCAAGTCTGAAGCTCAAGGACAGAGCAAATTTAGAAAGAGGCAGCTCAGGATCCACAGAACCAGCTACCTGTGAGACATTGCTGCCAGGGTGCTCATAGAACTCTAATTCAGCCTGTCAAAACAAAAAAGAATCAACAAACCCCTTCCCCACATACTACCGTCACCACCCCAGATAAAAACAGTCCACTTGTAACCCTCATTGACTGCTTTAGGCTCTTCTAGCTAAATATTCACATCAGACACTTGTGTATCTTCCTTTCTCCCATTGTTTTTCTCTTCCAGCTGCCCATACAGATTCACTCATTACATCACACTGGTATCTAAAACCCTCACAGCCACACATTGTCCTACAGCTTCACTGCCACCACTCCCAGACAGTCCCCATCTTTTCTCCACCTGAATCACCCTACAAGTCCCACAGCAGGTTTTCTTGTCTCTCCTTTTATTCCCTCCAGTCCTTCCCTGTCATGTCCCCATTCTTCGGTGTCCTTAGGATAACATCCTAACTACAGCTATCCACGACGACTTTTATAACCTGATCCTACTCTTGGGTGCAGCCTTATGCTGCCTCTATTCTGGTACTCCTGGAGTTTTTGACTTGCTAAAGACACCTTGTGATTATCCTTGTAGGAGAGATTTCTCTGCTTCAACCCACTCTGGAAAGTTTCATTGACTTTCACACCTGTGCCTGGTGCCCTGTTTTTAAAGACTGTCAAAAAAATTAAAAAAAACCCTATCTTTACATACATACACCTTCCCTTTATAGCAACACTCAGTCTTATGGGGCTGGGTCAGGAGATAAACTCAAGTGATGGTCACTGTGATGTTCTCAGAGTTGCTCCTCTGCTTCAGCAAAGCTTGATTAGTGATGAACCTCATCTGCCCTGGTCTCTAAGTTTCCTTCTGATGCGGCCCACCCGGTGGCCCCTTGAGTCTTCACACTGACAAGCTTGGCGAGCCAACCAGGAGAGTTTACTATATGTGTGCGAACCCCAGAAGCAGCTGCAGGGTCAGATCAGGTTACATGTCCTGCACAGCGTCTGTCTTCAAGGATTGGGCCACTGCATTTACACCCACCCCAGCTGCAGGGCGTCCCCTAGAGTCAGACATAGTCATCTCCCTCCATTCACTTTAGTCCTAAACTCAAAAGTCACCATCAAGGAAGCCCTCAGTGGCTGACCTGTCTGTAATCAAGAGTTACCATTCCTCCTCTCCTCAACTTTTATATCCCTCTTTCCTCCTATTTTTTCTTTCACACTTGCCACTATCTAGTGAAATTACACTTCATGTTTTCACTTGTTATGTGTCTCTCCACTAGAATTCAGTGGAGATAGAGACTCTTTCCCACTGTGTCTCCAGGACTGAAGGAACCCTGGTAAGGCCAGAGCAGATACTCAATAAATATTTGCTCACTGAATAGATGAGCACACAATTCTTCTGAGAAGCATCAGGGCCTTAGCAGTCTTCCATAAACATTTTCTGTGACTGAGGGGAAAAGGTCCTCTTGTGATATCTGCCAATGCACTTTACCTTTCTTAGTAGATCCTCAGCTCCTGTTAAAAGAAAATGGCCCCTTGCTCCCAGAATGATGAACTTGCCTTAGCCCTGATTTGAAACTTGTTTCTGCACTGCTATATGCCTCCTCATGTTTAGGGAAAGAAAAAAAACCCATTTCCTGAACACTTCTGAATCCTAAAGTTTGTAAAGAGAATATGTGGCTCCAAGATTTCTTGACCATGGGAGATAAGACAAATTTTATTATAATACCAAGAGCCTTGTTCTTTCTGGAGCATGACATGAGAGGATCACAGCAAGACAACCCCAACTTTGCTGTTGCCCCCGCACATGCGTATGATAGTACACAGTTTTCTTAGAGCCCACTGTTACTGTAGAATTCTTTTGTACCAGTGGTACTGGATCATCTCTGTGATATCTTAGTTTGGTAGAGATCAGAAATTGAAGAGAAATAGACATCTGTAGTTTTTATGGCATAAACATGAGTGTTTCTTAGCAAACAACAGACATGCATACACTATGAATTTGATTCACAGGGCAGTTGTCTTTTAAACATACTTGTCATTAGCATTTTTCAGAGCAATCGAATACAGAGTTTTATTTATTTTTCCTCTCTAAGTTAAAAAAGCTTTGGTGACCCTGATGGCTTACCCATCAGCTCTGTTGCAATCAGTGTGAACTGTGGGAGCCAGGTGCAATGAAAAACTAGGAATCAGAGAGAGATTTTATTCTCAGTTTGCTGTCTTTATCAACTTACTCTGTGTACAGAAGCCAAACTTCCATTACTCATTCATACATGCAATCATTCTGTCACTCTAAGTATGTGAACTCTTTTCAACTCTTAATTGTATAAACATCAGTAATAAATCAGAAATCTTAAAGGTAAATACTGATTGTTTTTATTGCATACATATTTAATTTTTTACACCAAAATAGTTGGCATAAATAAACTTAAAAAAAAATACATCAGGAGCCAGGGGTGAATGCAGTGTATATGACAACAGAAAAATGTGTGAGCTGGTTGGTGGCACAGGCCTGTAATCCTGGCACTTTACGAGATTGAGGCAGAAGGATAACAAGTTCGAGCCCAGAGTGGGTGACTTAGCAAGACCTGTGTCAAAATAAAAAATAAGACAAAGGCTTAGGTTGTAGCTCAGTGCACAAAAAGGCCCTGGGTTCAATCCAGGGGACAATGGGGACAAAAAGGCAGAGAGGGAAGGATGGAGAACGGAGAGGAAAGAAGCATAGATGGATGTGAGACAGAAAAGATAAATTCACAGATGATCACATTCACATGTTAAAGAGCTTCATTTATAATATTAGTCATACATCTAGTGAAAAAAAAGACAATGTACGGTGGCTAAGTAGATGTAGAGAGATGGATTTTTCCCAGTTTTAATGGAGAGAGCAAATTACTGCAGTCTGGGAGAGCAATTTGGCAATATGTAGCTGAAGCCTAAAAGTGATCCATTCGATTATAGAAATTTTAATGAAAGCAGCAGGCAGATTTGAAAGGGTGTTCATCTAAGTATTGTCCATAGTAAAATGTGGGAAACCACATCAGTGCTGGCGGAATCCCTAAATGTTCAATGAAATATGCTGTCTTTGCAAATAAAGATGAAGAGATACAGCCACTGTAGTGGAATTACACTCAGAATGCTATAGAACAACATACAAACTGCTTCCTTTTTTAGCATTCAAAGATAGTTGTGTCCATGTGTTTATATAGGCATTTGAAATTGGGAGATAACATTCAACCAAATTTTAAACATAGTTAACGTTAGTGATAAAATTGCGGGTATTTTCATACTTAGCTGTTTACCTTGTGTAATTTCTAGTATCTTTATAATGCAAATGTTTGTTTTCTATATTTAGAAAAAAATAGAACACTATGTCTTCTTTGAAGAAAATAAATAAGTATTAATAGTATTCTTACCTGTAGTAAAGGTGTTGATTTTCCCTTTCCTCTTATGATTCTTATTCCTCTTGTCTCGTCTGCTCTGTTTCTCACTTCTCTTAGTATGTACCTTCGTCCTTAATTTTATTTTCAAGTTAATTTTGCTCTCATTTAGTTTCATGTTTTTCTCATGAAGAGAGTGGCTTTATTCTTGACGTCTCCCCAACCCTCGTGGACACCACCTGACTCTAAACTGTCAGTGTTTCTTACCCAGATCTGTCTGTGCAATAGCCTAGCATCTGGCTCCCTCGGGAAAGCTGCCAAGGATCCTCTTAAACACTAAATCTGTGCATTTCTGTTGGTCTGTGATGACCCATAGGGTTACATGTGGACCGTTTATGTTGGCATTAAAAGCCCACCACCATGATACCTTCTTCCTGTTCTCCCATTGTCTGTCATAGCCGCTGTCTACTTCTCAGCGTTCCTAGGGTAAATGTTTCTCTCGCGGTCTTTGCCTTTCTACCTTCTCCCTCGTCCTGTGCTGCTCTCCCTTGTGAGGACTGGACAATCCCTATTTGTTCCCCAGCACCCAGCTGAAGGGGCCTCCCTTTGTGAACACACTTGGGGTGCTGTCTGGACACATTTCTGTTTATGTTGGCCTTCCTCAGCTTTCTCGTGAAGGCAGGTTACTATGTAAGACAACCTTTCTAGCAGCCCCTGATCCTGGCCCGTGCGAGACCTTCGAATTGTACTCGTGCCAGCCGCATTTCCCACTAGGACCTCTGCTTCTCATTTGAGTGATTCTCTAATGTTTAGTCTCTTGATTATCTGAGCTTCCAAGATAAGAATCAGAACAAGAATTCCGATACTGTCTGTGTTCTTCCCCTCCACAGGCTTCGGACGACGAGTCTTACATCAGTGATGTGAGTGATAACATCTCAGAAGACAACACCAGCGTTGCAGACAATATTTCTCGACAAAGTATGCATCACCTGGGCTTCCAGGTTCTTCTGTCTGCATGCAAAATTACAACGCTTATGACCTCATAAACAGTCAGTCACTCTCCTCCTACCCTCGCTAATTGTTCCCTTTCCAGCTGATTGTTCCATAATTTTTATTTTACATAATCTGTTGAAATAAAAGAGTTGCAGAAATCTGCAGAACACGTTTAAATATTCGAAAAAGCTTTACCTCTTAACCCAAAGTTTGAATCCTTATTAAATATATATATATATAT